AATAAATGATACATTCATATTCACTTGTGGATTTAATTGTTCTTAGACCTACAAGAACTTGTTTATAGGCATGAGAATGTGAAGCAACTAGCAAGTAAAGATTTCACTGTTTGAAGTTGTCTTTCAAAGTTAGAAAGACATCAGTTCTTGTGAGAATATTCTGGGCTTTTAAAGGCAAAAAAATACAGCAAGCTCTTTCTGCTCCCTTTGAAATCTGAGCATGTACCCAAGAGACTGGAGTGCTTGATCCATCTTGCAGTTCTTACTCTAAGAAAGCAGTAGCACCAAGAGTGAAAATTTCTGTGAGCCTAGTTGCCCCTAAGTGATTAACACCTTTGCTAAACTTTTTATTTAGCATCTGGTATGGATTTTTAGAAGGAGGACTTCAAAAGGGAGTAGCCTGTACCACCTGAAGGCTTTCTAAATGTATCCTAAATGCAGCAGTTGGCTTTGTTCACTCGTAGTCTAGTTACATGTTGAGAGTTTTTTCAGATTACCATTTTAAAATAACATCTGGTTTGCCTTCACCTGCATGAGTTGTCTGAGGCAGATTAGGATTTCTTAAATAACATTAAGTGTATATAGAAATGACTACATGCAGGCAAGCCACTATTACTCCTATATGCTCCTACACAGACTCTTGATCTCCAGCACCAGCCAGTTTTTTGTGACCTCCAGCTTGCTGTGCATTAGTGAGCCATGCTCCTAGGCTGCTTCTGAGCTGTGGCAATGAGGAGTTATTGTTCATTTTCAGTGGACTCCAAGCAGGGTGTTTTGCCCATCTTGAAATCAAATCACTTATTTTCCAGAAGAAAATTTTCTAGGCTTCATTAGAGGTAGAGGACTGTACCATCTTAGTTTCCCTGCAGTAAGGCCATAACTCAACAGGATGTAGCTGTTTTGGAATGTGAGCAGAAATTAACATGAAAAACTCCAAGCTGCATGGGATACTCTTAGCTTCAACAGCAGCAGTTGTTCAGCATATGGAGCCTAGAACCAAATAAAGATTACAAAATAATCTTGTTTTCCAGCTGAGGAAGCTGGCAGCTAACAGCCTCTTGCCCTTGACTTTGAAATTATTCCATAGCTCCTATCTATACTAGCAGGCTGCAATGAGCAGTGTAATAGGAATAGATTAACAACACTAATCACCACAGTTGATGATTGGGGAATTTATGTAAGCTATGGTCTGTTTATAGGGGACTGGATAGCTTTTAGTGGTTAAAGAGCATCTTCAACTCTTTCTCAATTGAGCAGCATTTGCACCCCAAGATCACTCTACACTCAACTACCAGCATGCCTGGGAGCTCTGCTTCAGAAATACACTTCCAATCTGAAATGAACTTTGCTTTTTGGGTTTTTAATGCTTTCATCTTATTCCCTTATATCTGTAACCTCGGTCCCATCTCTTCCCTTTTCTAGCACAGGTAACTGATGTTTCAGTTTATCATTACAACACCTTCACTCAGCAGTGCATGCCTACAAACAACCAGCCAGGACAAAACACATACCTCCTAAAGGCATGTAGAGATTCTGCAGCCAAGCAAATATGAGCTGTCTTCCCACTGCTGAAAACAGCTCTATCAGATCATGGCGTTTTTAAGAAAAAACACCTTGAAGGAACTCTGATTCTTATTACCAGTAGCTTTTACTTTCCCTCCTGTCTACCATCCTATTACACCTTTTTTTTTCTTCTTTTTTTTTATTTCTTCATTCCCTACTCACTGCTCTTTGCTCAAGGAAGACCATTGTTTATGAAGGAAAGGAGCAGGTATAGATTTGAGATCACTGTTTTGCGTTCCACGCTGATTCATCAGGGAATTCAAATCTCTAGAGAAGCCAAGTCTGGGGGAAGCAAAAAGCAAATGTCTTTTTCATGCAGCAATTAGCTCTAATAAACTGTTTTTCTCTGAGGGAAAAATTGCTCTTTTTATTTAAAATGTTGAGCTTTCCATCATCTAACAGCAAGTCTAGGCTTGCAATACCGCATTAGCCTAGCTCAGGCTCTAGTATGATGGAGAGTAAGGGTAACTGTACTGAAATGGAACCCTGCCCCCCTATTTAAAGGAAAACGATGAAATAAGCTAAAAGGAAATAACCACCTACTTCAGGCAGGTTTTGCATCAAAACAAAATCTGTTGTAAAAGCAAACAATACTGGCCCTGGTAAATGGATATCTCAGGAAGCCTGTTCAACCACCCAATCAATGAAAATTTTGCTTTCTACTTATCTGCTCTCACTTTGGCCTCCAACCTGAAGAGGATGTCTAGTCTTAAGCAAGAGGTTTCTAATTTTAATCCAAATCTCTTAATAGTTGAGGAAATACAAGCTTGTGCTGGAGTTTAATCATCTCTGATATAGCTGGCTTTTCAAATACAAAGTAGTGAGCAGGAGGAGAAAAGAGAACTTCCTGTGCTAGGAAGCCAGTGATTTGTAGGTTATTTGGTGTGTACGACTGAGTTGCCTAGCTGTGGCATTAGATTCTAGAGCTGTCTTGAGAGCTTTGATTGAAATTAGAACCTCATTACAGCCAAATTACTAATTATGAGTCAATATTTCCATCTGAACACTTCCTCTGTGGATCAGGAATAGAAAAGACTAAGCAGTAATTATGAAGTTGCAGGTACAGGGGTTATTTCATAGACATGGAAAGAAAATAACACTTAAATGATATTTTGATACACAATTCTTATGTAATTTGGAAAGCCAAAAATCAAGCAATCTGATTCCTGATGCAGTACATACGAGTTGTTCCCAACTGGTTAAGTATAAGGAGATTATATTATCAACAGCCATATTTAATATCTGCCTTATGTGAATCATATCTTTATTAGTCATGGTATCTCATTATTCAGCATATATACACATCTCTATTGCAGACCAAATGGCTCAATTCATAATAGATGTCTGCTAGGTGAGAGTTTAAAAGCAAGCAGAGAAGACAATGTTATTTTAGTGCCAATCTCTGTATCATGGGAAAAGAAGTTGCAGAAAACTGAGCTTCATTGTACCTGTAGCCATCCTTTCCTCAAATATTTGTTCACTGGGTATAAGTGCTTCAAGCCTGCTGTAGCTTTCTCTAGTGCTCAAACAAGAGCCTGAAATAATTGTTGCACCATTTCAAAGCAAGCATGCCTAAGGTGCTCCTGTTTGCACTTCAGAGCTATACAGTGGAAGCAGTTCATATGGCAGCAGCAGCACCCAAGAGACCAGTTTGCACTGGAATTGCTATGTATGGTTTATTGTTCAAACAGTGCCATTACCCATTCAATTCTATCTTTCTAACAAACAGCCAGTTGGCAGATGCCACAGGCATGAAATATCTGAAGCCAGTGGAGTTGGCAAAGCTTCTGTAGCTTGCCCGTGTGAGAAGAGACTCAACTGCCATTAAGAACAAACCCAGTTCAGAGGTTGATGTGTTTGCTCTTCCAAAAGAGAAACGTGTTTACTATATTAAAAAAAGTGACCTCTCCAAAGTTACTACTTTCTGAGATGTAGCACGGAAAATAAGCATTCTCTGCTCGGTTCACAAATGAGAGAGCTCTTTAAGCTGAATGCAATGCTGTGGTTGGTATCTGAACACTGCTCGTTGAAGGGCCCACCACAGGGGGCTGGACTTCAACATCCAAGCAGATCCCTATAGGGGAGTTTCAGTTGTTGATACAATGAACAAGTACTTGCTGGGCACTGCAGCAGATGGCATCACAGGATTCAGCCTCATGTTTTGACAGATCTCAATTGCACTAGATTTACTGTCCCCAGCTGAATTGCTCATCAGAACCCAAAACCAGTTTCACTATACATTTCTTCTCCCCTCTGGTTCCCTTTTTAACTCCTCAGTCTCACCTGGAGGAGAAGATTAAGCCATCAGGAACTTTTAAGTCACATTGCTTTAAGGAAGCAGGGGAAAGATGAGCAGCATAGTTACATGCACTGTCAGAGTCATAGGAGCCTTTATAGCTTCAGGTTATGGCAAGCACAATAAATGGCACAACAGTTACCTGAAAATGTTGCAGTTTTCTAAAGAAGCAGCTTTATCCCTAGAAAATATTATATTTACATAAGTATATTAAATACATTTAGTTCACATGATAAGCTGAGCTGGAAGAATGAAGTTATGCTTTGGCACATACTGCCTCACTGCAAGAAAATAAACGTTGAGTAGAGGAGCAGCATCTGGCCTGGCACCGTTATTGCCTCGTGGCTGGAGCGGTGGGTGAGCAGTGCCAGTACAGGAAGGAAGCTTGCTGCAGCTGCTGGGTTCTAGCTGTAGCTGTACATGACCAAGCAGCAGTAAACCCTGAAGCTGACAGTCAGGCTGCAGGAGAGAAACGAGTCATTCACAAACACTTTGGTTGCGCAGTTACTCTTTATTGCATCCTATATCCTTAGGAATAACAGCTAAATTTTTCCACTTCCCAGGCTCAAATTCTTAGGTGTAGAGGCTTTGACTGCCATTGCTTTTGAGAACATGCCAAAACTGATCCAGTGCCTCCCATAATAAAGTATGAACTGTTTGCTTCAGGCAGATGTACTTAAACCAGTTGAGCCCAAACTACTTATTTTCATTAAAAATAACCTATATTATGTGGTCCAGGGCTAGGAACAGGAAATTCACTTCTGCATTTGCAGAACACATGTTAAGCTCCAATTCACATTGTGACAGCTTGAGTCGAGACAGGTTATAGCATCCTGCATGGAAACAGAAGTGTTACATTTCTGCACTTGAATCATCTCCCCATCTCTGCTTGCTCGTCCACCCCCCAACATGTAACTGCATGAAAGACTGCAGTTTGGTTGCAGATCAGTCCACAAAACATCACAATGGAGTTCATAGAGAATCAGGAAAACCAGGTTTGCTTTTGACAGTAAGAAGTGCATTCAGCTGCCTTTTAAACGCTGAGGCTCTCAAGTGTTTTTTCACTTCAGTCAGTCCAAGGAAGAGGAAAGTTCTGGCTTTGCCTAGACAGCTGATGCTTAGTCCTGCAAGACATTAACACTGCCAGTTGTCAGTTATACTATAGCCATCTTCATCTGAAAGTTGTTTTTCCCAGGATACCAGAAACAATATATTTATGTTCTCCATGCTTCCCTCCACTCGTGCCTATGTTCTCCATAGGCCATGTAGTGTCACAGATTTGTTTGGATACTCCATGCAGTTCAGTTTAAAACTGGCCACTTATTCCTGCATACTTGAATAAAGGGCCTCAATCTCCTTGTGGAAGAGTTTAACAAGCTCTGCTCTCTTCGCCTTCAGGGTTGGTGTTAAGAGTCCATTTTCAACAGAGAACATCTCTGTATGGATGTACAGGTCTTTAACCTGTTAAAAGAAAATAACATAGCACATGATGCTTACATAATTCCTTTGAGTACAAATAACACTTCTCCCCAGCTTCTCTGAGCTCAGTGCAAGAACTCAGCCTCAGGAGCTTTTAGTAACTAAAATGGCTTTTGATGCAAGTCAAACTCCTCTTGGCTATCACAGCAAGAGTATAGGCTGGAACAACAGTATAGCTCCTGCAGCTTATGGTGAACCTCTCCATCTCACAGCAATTGCTACTGTTGCCCTGTACAGCCACCTGTCTTTTGGTCAAGAGATAGACAGCCAGTCAATGTTTCACTGCCGACTTCAATCAGTTGTCTGGGGCAGCTGTCTTAGGTCCCATCCTGGTAGAGTCAATAACAGGAATGATGACTTCCCAGCCATTGCATTAGCAACACAGGTGCTTACAACAAGCAGGACTGAAGTACTCACTTGTTCAAAGGTTTTAAGGCCAGCCTCCTTCCCCAGTCTGACCATATCTTCTAAAATAGCTTTCTTCACTGCCTAGAAGAAACAGAGCATGAGCAGAGTGGGTAAAGCTGTCATTTTGTAACACCAATTCAAGACCGTTGCCCAGTCATTGAAAACTGAGGTTGTCAAGAATACACATACATATTTCAACATTTCTCATATTCAGTCCAGTACAAAGACATGTCTGTCTTCTCACTGGAAAGAAGCAGTGGTAGCCCTTTGAACATCAAGAGACAACTACAGTTAGTTCCAGCTTTTACTGTAAGGATGCTTGCATGACTCACCCAGAATAAAGCCAGATTAATTTACAAAACAGGGATAAAATGAAGTCAAAGAAATGGAAGATTTGACTTCAGAATTAAATTCTGTCTATAAGCCACTCACCGGATTTTTGCAGAGTTCTTCATAGGAACCTTTTACTCCCAGCTTTGCTGCAAATCCTGGAAGTGTCTCAGGATCAGGAACCACTATACCTACTAGAAAAGACTGAAAACAAGTAGAAGTAGTCATGTTGAGGCCAAAATAAGGCATCTGAAATCACTTTGTCTATATGGACCTGATTGTAGACAGCATGTCTGTTACAAGCCGCATGTACATCCCCATCCATTTCCAGAGTTCAGAAGGTAGCAACAAGGACCTTCCAAGTCATTTATCCGAGTTCTGACAGCAGTAATTAAAGCACTAATGCGGTTTGTTATGTGTGCTGAATGCTCCAGCAATTACTTTTGGCTGGTTCACACGTTGAAGACTGGCCTCTGCTAGCACTGGTGCCATCTGTACTGCAAAGGAGTAGAGAAACACCCCTCCTATGAGGAAAGGCTGATGAAGTTGTGGTTGTTCAGCCTGGAGAAGAAGAGAAGCCTCTGGGGAAACCCTATTGCAGCCTTTCAATACTTAAAGGAGACCAGTAATAAAGATAGAGGCAGTCTTTTTAGCAGGGCCTGTTGTGACAGGACAAGGAGTGATGTTTTTAAACTAAAAAAGGGAAGATTTAGACTAGATACAAGAAGGCAATTTATTTTTTTTTTTTTAAATGAAGGTCAACACTGGCCCAGGTTGCCCAGAGAAGTGGTAGATGCCCCGTCCTTGGAAACATTCAAGATCAGGTTAGACAGGGCTCTGAGCAACCTGATCTAGTTGAAGATGTCCCTTCTTATTGCAGTGGGGCTTGGACTAGATGACCTTTAGAGGTCCCTTCCAACCCAAATTATTCTATGATTCTACTGTACAGAGTACAGTCCTGACATAGTAATCCCATACAAGTATGTAATTAGCCCTTACCTAACTTGCAACCTGATGTCAAGATCTCCTTTGCTTTGGTGTCTGCTGGGAAGGCTATAGGTCTGAAAGGATATTCTTTTAAACATGGCACTCTCAGGAACAAATCTTCGAGGACTCTTGTATATGTATACATTTGTGCCCTGACCTTCCAGAACCCATTGTGGGAAGAATCTTGCAGGATGCTTACTTCTAACATCACTTACCCTCAGGCTTTCCCCGTGTACAAAGACCTGGGCTACAGGAGCACTTCTGACATAGACATTTTCTATCTTCTCTGGAGCAATGTATTCTCCTTGTGCAAGCTTAAATATATTCTTCTTCCTATCAATGATCTTCAGTGTTCCATTCTAGAAGTTAAAGGTGGAGGCTGTTAGTTTCAAGCATCTCTCTTGCTTCTATAAGAAGCAGAAGATAAGTTTGTTGATAAAGATAAGTTATATGAAAGGCACATGCTAGTTTGGAGCAGGTCTTTGCTCTCTACAGAGAGAAGGGACACTTGGTCTAATTTCTCCAGTTAGTTCAGGACATGATTAGACAACTCCATCATTCTTTGACAGAAATTAAGACACCTTGTTGTTCTTCATTTGAGATGGTGTAATCTAACTTGTCTTTGGAGCTTTGCCTGGAGCTACTTGGTGGATGATAAAGTACCACATAAGGCTTTTATCCTAGAATTCACTTCTCCAGCTTTTCAGATAATCATAAAGTAGACAGAAATTTGCATCCAAGGGATGATGGTCTGTATTAAGCAATTACTCACTGGTAACCATTTCCCTATGTCTCCAGTGTGGAGCCAGCCATCTTTATCAATTGCTTCTGCTGTCTTCTCAGGGTCTTTCAAATAACCCTTGAACACATTTGGTCCTTTAATGCAGACCTACAGCAAGCACAGGACATTGTTAGTCACTGAATCTTACATTTCACACACAGAGGAGGTTGTTAGTCACCAAATCCTATGTGACACACACAGGAGATAGTACCTACCTCGCCTTCATTGTTAGAAGAGAAGTAGTTCATTTCTTCCACATCATCTAGTTTTATGATATTACATGCCAGAGGGGCTCCCACATGACCTTAAAAAAACAAACAAGCCCAACCCAACCCCAAGGACTGTTATATTTTCATGATTCTGTTAGCAGTCTGTCCTATTTGATCTAAAGCTAGAAAGCCTAGATCTTGAAGTGAGATGGAAGAACTCAGGTTCTCCCTACATAAAAAAAGTCTTCAGTGTTAGTAGATATTTAATGGCTCCTTGTTCACTGCTTTAGCAAGAACTGTACTGTTTAAACAGAGTCTGAGACCAGAGGTTTGAGGAAGTTATTGTAATGTCATTTTCAGACAGTTAATTCAGGCTAAGTAGCAGCTAAACCTCAATGCTGAGAGCCATTTGTTGGTGGAAGCAATCACACCAAACAGGTACCACACTTGCCTCTGAAGAATTCCTGCATAGACCCTGGTATTCATTTGCATTTTCTCCTCATTCTCTGCTGTTACTGTGTTCTCAAAGGTGGTGACTTGAACTTGAATTTAGAATACTCCATATTAAAAACATCCTTGCTAAGATGAAAGCTAATCTTCAAGGTAGTCCTTCAGAGAAACAGTCAAGTATCATGTCTGATATTTTAGTCATAATTCTTTGAGTACAAGTTATTTGGGAGCTAAGGCTAGTTTCTTAAAGCCATTTGGGAAGTCCTTGTCCAGTTTGCTCAGCTCTGTGCAGACACCCCGTTCCTGTACAATGGGACAGGGTCTAAGCTGAGTTATGTCACTTAACACAAGAGATCCTCATCTGCTCGAGTCAAGAATTTTGGTACTATTAAGGATTCAGGTCACTTGCTACCAAGAATCACCTTGAGGTTAAGTACCAAGGAGTTAAACTTTTGTTGAACTGAAACCAGTAGAGCACCTAAGCTTGAGTGCCACTTCCTACTGACAGCTGTGGGAGGATTTCCAAGCCTTGGCTACCATACCTGTTGTCCAGTCTCCAGGTGTGGAGAAAGTGCATCCAGCTGAGCATTCAGTCTGTCCATAAGCTTCAAAGATCTGTGTGAGCAAGGATAAATATATTCTTTAAACATCCAGACCTTCGTGTTTCAGTTCAGCTATGCCTGTGCTCAAATCTTCTTAGGAAAGAAGCCAAAACAATCTTAGCCTTTAAGACTTCTTGGCCTTAGCAGCGTAACCAGACGTTCTTCCAGTTCACCTTACCCAAACCTTGCTTTCATCTCCTCATTCTCTGAACTCTGTTCTCAAATGTACTATATTGGGAGCTCATGAACTGTCAGGATAAGCCACAAAGCTCAGAGGCAGCTGCCTGACCTGAGTGCTGCATATTCCTGTTTCTGCAGCTCTATTCCTCTTCCCAGAGCCTACAGCATAGTTTTTTTGTAGCACAGTTTAAAGCCAGCCCTGCAGAATTTTGTTCCTGTTGGTTAACTCAGATCAAACAGCCTATAAGACCTGAAGACTGACAGTAATCTCCCCAGGAACAAGGTGGGCTGGACTACATTATCAGTCACTTACTTGGGCATAATTAAACAGGTCCTTCTTGAAGAAAAAAAAAAAGGCAGAACAAAACAAAAAAAACACAATCAAAAAAACCCCAAACAAACAAAAAAACAAAACAAAACACCACACCAAAAAACCCACCACAACCAACAACACAACCAAAAATAAAAGCCCAGACAAGCACTCAGCTTACCTGACAGCCTAATGTTGCTCTAAGAAATGTCAGGACAGAGGGAGATATAGGGGCTGCTCCTGTAACCATTATACGCACTCTTCCACCCATTGTTTCCTACAAATGAAACAGAAACCATCAGATCCTCCAATATTACATTGTGCAGCTAGCTTACACTTGGAATAGCTTACCTGAACTTTCTTGAAGATAAGCTGATCCCAAATGCTGTCATTTCGAAATATGCCCTGTTTTATTTCAGCCGTCTTCATCAATACAGCCAAGTTTAACAGGCAGCGTTTCACTGGGCTCTTTGCACCACTTTGTATCTGAGAGGAGAAGTATCTGTGAATCTTGGGTTTAACTCATATCTGTACCTTCAGTTCTTGCTTTGTTAGGAGGCACTGTATCTTTCTTTGATGTCCTAGGATCTATCTTCACTACTGCCATGGTCTAGGAGATGAACTGAGGGGCAATACTAATTTGTGTTACTGGTGACATACTTCAGCCATAGCTTTGAGGGATAGAGATCCTTCCAGCTTTGCACTTGCTTCATTGGCTTTCCAAAAGTAAACAAGCTTTTTGTCTCTGAACATCAGCCCAGTCCTGACTGGATACACTTTTCTTATACACCAGGTCCCAGGTCTCTTTCCATCTCCTTAGAATAGATTTTAAAGAATTCTTTCTGCTAAGGAGTAATTAGTGGTGATGTTATGATGTATTCAATATGAATTAAAACTTGTATGCTTGCTTAGATATATGAACACAAAGTTAATTCAGTTAAAATTGCTCACATACCTTGTCATATATTCTATTGAGCAGTCTTGGTACAACTGGAAATAGTGTTGGCTTCAAGGTTTTCATGTCATCTGTTAGCAACTTGATATCTCCTTGGAAGAAGCCTACTTTTGCTCCACAGCTGTAGGCTACAGTCTAAAAATTGACCAGACTAAACTTAGTCAAGGATAATTCCTAACTTCACGAGCCATAATTATTTGTAAAGCAGCATGATTTCCAGTGCCCAGTGATAGGAAAGATGTCTGTGAATAGGTTTTGAGGAAACACAGAAGGCTAGCATGCCTTCTACTGTAATCTGATTTATAGCAGCTCAGATACATACATCTATACATACCTGTACAACTCTCTCAAACATGTGAGCCAAGGGAAGATAGGACATGGTGATATCTGAGCTTGAAAATTCAACTGTGTTCTAGAGGGGAAAGAAATGCAAGTTAGGACTCCCTATGCCTGCTTGAGTTACTCTTACACAAAAAGTGAATAAAATTTGGGTCGGTTTGAGTACGTTGAAACAGACATTTTAAATTAGTGAATCAACTTAGGCTCATCCCTCACCTCTTCAAAATCTGCAGGTGTAACTAGATCAAGAATAGTTCTATGTTTTGGCCAGACTTCAAATAGAGAGATTTAGTACTCTTGGCATTTAGGACTGACACATTCTAGAGTAACTTCTGTGTGGAGCTTCTTTTCCAAGGTTAAAACAAGTGTCATGCCATAGTATTGTCCCGTGGAAGTGTGGGCACTAAGGAAAGCCTGAGCTGGCTGGGAGTGAACGGTTTGCTGAAGGCATGCACATTAAAGCTAGTTTCATGGCTGAGTGACATAGCCTGGAGATCATTAGTAGCAGTAGCTTACCTCTGTGCCTCTAAGGAAGGCAGCAGCATTTGCAACAACGTTTTGATGTGTCAGCATGGCACCTTTAGGGTTACCTTTGGAGAGATTAAGCAAAGTCAGCTGTGGCTCTGACAGCTTCTGCTGGCAGTTTCCCATCACTTGCTTGACTTCATTTGAACTATCCTGGTATTAAGCTCAGTCATAGCACGCATTTGCCTTAAGAGGTTACAAATACACTTCATCTCGAACTCTTTCAGCTATAGATATTACATAAATGAACTGTCTACTGAAACAGCAGAGTAATTAAGAGTAGCATATAGAATGCTGAAGCAAGGTGTTTTTCTAACCCCTGGGGGTCAGAATACAGGCACAGTTCAACAACCAAATCTTTTTAAGATGAAGACTATTTCATATGATAATAGAATGGCTTAGGTTGGAAGGGACCCTAGAGATCATCTAATCCTACCTCCTTGCCATGGGCAGGGACACCTCTCAGACTACTCTCAACTATTTTTCATAGGGTAAGATAACATGAATTTAGCTATTCTCCCCACCAGCTCCAAGAAGCTTTGTCTTAGAGTACTTGACTTGTAATGACAATATTCCAGGTAAAGCTGCAGTAGTCCTTGACACTGATCTGATTTACTGTTTTACTTCTACATTGTCAGCTTTTTTTTTTTTTTTTCCTGTGCTAGAAAGATACTTTTTCCAGCACAGGGAGATGATTGTTTTACTGGGGAAGCACCACTACATGTCCTTTTACCTGTGGTTCCACTGGTAAAACAGACAATGCAAAGATCTTCAGGCTTAGGAGGCTAGAGGGGAAAAACCACATAAGGTCAAAGTAAGGATTATGGTGCTTATCAGCATTTACATACAATTCCTAAAGCAAGATCAACAGGAATTCTGTTTGGAAACAGCAAGACAACAACAACAACAACAGAATAATCCTGCCAGCCTTCTCTACTAGCAGCATGCTAAGAGGTATTTTCAGAGGCTAGTTTTGCAAGCTTATAACTGTTCACAGAGATACTTACAACTGGTTCACTGATGTTGTTTCTTCCCAGCTCCTGTGTTAGAGAAAAAACACAGCTTAACAGTTGCAACAGAAAGAGGTGCAACAACAGTACATAGATTAGGTAATTGCATTTCAAATGCGTTACTTGTTTTTATGTTGGTTCTTGATACTGTCTCAGCCAGAGAGAGATGTTGGTCTTCAAATTTAATACATACAGCTTGAGAAGGCTGACCCCTAGGGCTGTGGGAACCACGAATTTGAGTGTAGAAAGTGAGCAGAACTACTTAAGGAATTTAGAATATTTCATCTTACTTGATGTAGGCCACATCTCATATACTTTACATTTATGTATCATACCTGGAAGATTAAGCCTCGTACTGGGATGTCAAAGCATCCAGTAACTTGCACCAAGAGTTTCAATTAGACTCAACTGCCAGCTTCCAAGCCTGATAAATCCTGTTACAACTGCACCACGAATTAAGCTAAGGAAGTCTTTGGTTTAATGCATACTGACTGTCCACAACACATGGACACAGCTTTAGTCAGTGGTTTGAACTCTGCAACTCCGTTTGGCTAAATATATCAAGTACCAAAATGACTGCTCATCAAGACCTTGGGTACAAAGTATTCCTCTGCAAGATCAAGCAGAAGCCTTTGGTCACCTACCTCAACTTCATACATTGATAGAAGTTCAACTCCCACTTTAGCTCCTCTGTCCTTGAGTTCTTTATCAAAGAGATCCATGAGAATTATAGTCTTCAGACATGGAGTCTTTCCTTGCTCACAGTTCTCGAGCAAGATCTGTGCCTTCTCAGGCTTGTCACAGATCACTATGCTTATGTCAGCTACAGAAAAGAAATTACATTCAGAAATCAGTTTAGAAGGCATGAGGCCAGTGCGTGACAGCTCAGTAACACATTTAGAACATACCCCTGCTTTACTCTGTAGCCATCTGCATGTGTTCATATGGATTCAGTGGCTGGTTTACAGTGCTAAGAAAGTTCCTCCTGCCATGGCTTACCGATTGGGCAAACTTGAGATTCTAGCTATACAAGGTGAGAGGAAATGCTGAGGAACTGAAGACAGACAAGTATCTCCAGTCATAGTCAAGACAGGCATTTAAACTTTTGATATTGCCATAAAAGCTCAGAATCATCCTCATTTATTGTTTAGATTTAGCCATCTTCCTTAAATCTAAAGAAATTTAGACCTGTTTGAAAGAGGTAGCTAAAATTCTTGAGTTAATGCCTCATCTTCACTGCATGTGCAAGAGTTTTATACAATTACAAAAGCATTTTACATTAAGTCATCAGAGGAATTGGATTTGACTGAACATGACAGTTCTCTGTTAGCCTAGGAGGTCACAGCTGTGTAGTCCCAAGGCAAGATGTTTTTGCAATGTTCACCAGCATAACTATTGAAGTCATTTTGCTTGACAAATCTTGTTTAGGGGTTGGATTATAGATCATGGTGACAGCAGCAGATACATTTTCCCCACATATGTCCCCCTAAGGCTGGAGGAAGAAAGTTTGAAGATTTATTCAAGCTTCCTCACCAGTTTCTTCTATGATAGCATGCTAGTTGTTGCTTGTATAGAACAACAGGCCCTAAACAGGTAGATTAAACAGATATAAGCATATCTTTACTCCTGATTCCTCCACTCTTTACATCTTACAACTTTAAATCAAAAGACACACACCTAGTCTTTATTTGCATGCAAGTCTGTCTGCATTGTCTGATGGCTTGGCAGTTCAAGAGTGGGAGTTCTAGATTGCACAACCTCAAATAGTTGAGTGCTCTTATTGCAGGATGGTCCACAGGATCTAGCAAGTCTTCAGTGGACTTGCACTCAAGACACTAGGAGACATTGGAAGCCCACTGGCTTCTTCTAGGCACTGAACCATATCCACACAAAGCAGTTTCATTTACAGAAATTGTCTATAAAAGTATAAGAGCAGTAAGGTTAAAGATACTCTGATTTTTGCATCAAAGCCCCTTGAACTTTCAGCCTTCTCAAAACAAAGCTTCTTAGAGAAAACATTATGAAATAGTGTAAGTCAATATTTACCTTTGTTCACAATATATACAATGGCCTCTGGCCCCAGAGTGTCATAGAGTGGAACAGCAACCATTGAGTAAGTGTAGCAGGCATACTCTGAAATGATCCACTGAAGAGAGAAAACAGTACAGTGGAAAACTAGCATCTCAGAAGACAAGATTACCTATAGATTTCATACAGCTTGACAAGACCATGCACACATTATAGTGGGGATTGTGTAAGGAGCATGTCCTTGACATTCTTCCAATAGGAAGAGTTCAAGATCACTCTATTACATACTTGGCACAGTATGTGCTCAGTCAACAAGAAGGAAACTTGGAAGGGAAAAGCCAGCTGTGATTGTTCCTCATGTGGTCTCAAGCTATTTAACTACAGACCCTCCTGTCTCCCCATTGGAAAGAATATCCAATTTGTTGCTTACCTCTGGCCTATTCTGAGCAAAAATGCCAATAAACTGGTTTGATGCTGGTTTGCATCCTTTTTGCAGAAGCCCTGATCCCAGGTACTGAGCTCTGTCCAAAACCTGTAAGATAGTGTTCCCCCAACTTTAGTGTTACAAGACAGCATCCCATATTAAATCATCTGTACTGTAAAATACTCACCTGCTTATATGTCAGCCACTGATAAGGTTGGTTGGGTTTTCTGTAGCCTAAACAGTTGCCATCTTCTAATGGAAGAGTTCAGAAAAGCAATTGTAAAGCTCAGTACTGAAGCTGCATAGCACTTCAATGCAACACTTACAAGTGGGCAATCAGTCAGACATCCAGCTAACCACATGGAGCATGGAAGTGAACAGTGTCCATAGTTAAGCACTCTGCCCAAAACAAGATTGTAAGACTGATGGCTTTATCCTGACAAGCAATACTTCCAAGATCTGGTAATATTTTCCCATTTGACAACCCACGTGAGATTTAAATAACTCACAAGCTACCATATATTTCCATACATGGGGCCTCCGAGGTCAAACGTGCAGAAATTCATGCCTGGTGTCAGCAGGCAGTACTTTTACACTAAAACCATAAAAGACAAAGAAGATGTTTTTCCCCCAACTCCCTCTGATGCTTATAATCTGTTCTGTATTGAACCCTACCATCTTAAGCTTCTGGCATTTGGTCTTGCCCAGTCTGCCAAGTAAGGCTACTTCTGGAGGTGGGAAACACGTGGTCACTTGTCAGTCCATGCCACAGAAGGCTGGCAAAGCTTTTGCTAATGTGAATTATTTTTACTACAGACAAGAGGCAAGGCAAAAGAGCCTGGAATAATTGTATTGACTAGTGATAGGCGAGTACTAACTAGCAGGTGCCAAGCTTACCAGAAGCATACAGTCCTCTTTGAAAAATTTCATACAAGGTTTTACCATCTTCGAAGTAGTAAGAAAGCAGGTTATTATCTGTCAGGAGTGCACCTCTTCTGGCTCCCCCCTAGGAACAGAGTACAGTTATGAAACAGTGCAGAACAGATGCAATGACATTTGTTCCTCAGCCATTCTCCCAGCAATCCCCTTTAAAGCATTTTAATAGCATTTCATTGTTAGGGAAGTCTCTTTTTCCCCTCCTGGTTTTGATCTACTCAATCATCAGTCATATGCAGAGGAACTTTCCATATGGCCTAGATTAATATTCAATTCTAGGTTATTAAAGAGACCTTGACTAAGATTAAGCACTACAACTTGCCTAATTACATGAGGTTCAGTACCATGTAACCTCAAAGCTGATGCAAAACATTTAAAAAAACAGAAAAAAAAATTCAGTGACAGCCAAGGCCATCTGGTAAAAAGCCCACCTAACCATGTTGGCAAGAGCTGCTGGTTTTACCTCTTAGTGTCTTAAGAGTTCCCTTCTCCCCACCATACTGTTGAGTTGTACACCTGGGAGAGAAGGCTGTGTATATCAGACAGGAGAGATTCCACTGATACCCAGAATCAGAATGAATCAGTATTCAGATTAAGCTGAAAAAAATAGTCCATGCCCACATACAGAGTAAGTATTACCTCAATTCCTATTGACTGCTTGTTCAAGTCAACAGGAGGCAAAACAGGTTTTGGCCTGCTTATCACCCACAGGAAGATGCCAACTCCAAGTACAATAAGACTAATCAATGCTGGTGTTGGGAGCGGTGAAAACAAGACTTGAAGTATCCAGATCATTGTGCTGGATCAGTGGAGCCAGAGTTGAACCTGAAACAAACAGGAGGTTTAGTAGACACGAGTTAGAAGCACTCACTACCTCTATGTCATGGTTAGTTAAGTAGTTTGTGAAGCAATGTTACAAATCATTTCAGCAGTTTGCCCCTAAAGAGTCCTGGTACAATAATGAAGCATGCTTATGCAATGCTTTAAGCCTCTTAAGAGATCTCAGGTCACCTGCCCATGTAAGTCTTAATCCATGCTGCATCCACCTCCACTAAAAGCTGAAGCCTGATGAAGTCAGACAAGAAACAGATGTCAGTTCTTTATGTTCAAGAGCAACAATCTGCCTGAGGAAAACCAATATATAATTTCCCAAAGTAAGTATAGTCAGATCAGGCCTACAGTTCAGTGATGTCATTAATGGAAGTAAGAAAACTCCTCAATATTGTAGCTGTACAATAGGAGGGAGCATTGCTAAAATAGTAGGGGTATTGATAAGTAACGTTTGCTACTCCTACACATAAATCTGCAGGACAAGCAGTATCTTCAGACTCAGCTGCTCTCAGTGGAAAGCAGAGTTTATACTGGGCAAGTATTTCACATAGTGAAAGTGTGTTCAGTGTGAGAAAAGATGCAAGTCAGAACTATGCAAGTTACTTTCTACGAGGAAGTGGTGACCTGGAAGTCAATGCGTGCAATGGAATTCTAGCTGGGAAATACAAAAGCAGTTCTGCTGCTTGCATCCTCCAGTCTCTTCCTTGAAAGGCAGGAAAGCAAAGTCTGAGAATGCAGGATTTCTTACAAGAGACAGAGACATCTACTTTAGCCTCCTCCCTTAGAAACAAGTACTTTAAACATACCAGAATATTTTAGAGATTAAGATTAAATGGCCAAGACAAATCTAGTACAGGTGACTGCTTTTTGTCTGAATCAACTCAGATCTCACCAGCTTATCTTTGGTAACATCTAAACAGCTATGCAGGACATGACATGCTACACTTTGCAAGATGAATAGTAAGAAAGAGTACCTCAAAGGCTTGTCATCAGGTCCAAGCTGCCAAAAGCATGTCACCTACATATCTGAAAAGTACCAACTCCCTAGACCTCTTTTCTACTGTAAGCCTTAGTTACAATGTGCCCTTCAAACACCTGGCCTTGGTTTATGTATCAAGACTCAAAAAAATTGTGGTACAGCAAGAAAGGCAGGAACTGCCCTTGGCACTCTGCTCTGACTGACAGTTCCAGTCACTGGGCATATCAAAACTAGGAAGCACAAACCTGTTCTTTCATCAGCCCAGGATACAGCACATCTCTACACCCTTCCTTTGGGCATGTATTGACTGAACCTAGAGAAAAAAGTCCCCTAAAACCTGGTCTGCTGATCAAGTTTACATGCAGGGCAAAGCAGTAAAGGTTTGAGCACTGCTCTGTTTGGAAGACTGAAGATTATTAATGAATTGAATTTGGCAATCAGCTGCTCTTCATGATTTATACATTTGGCCTTGTAACCGATTACTGGAGCAATTAGTGAACAGCTTTTTGCAGGTGACTAAGCAGTATCTGGTTTATGGTTCAAGATAGCCACTTCATCTAATGTTAATATGAACATGTCCTTTTTTTCTAGCATGAGCACTGAGGCAGCTTGGTAAAGGCATCTCTGCTCTCCATCATGAAAAAGAATCGGATATACAAATTTTATTCCTTTAACTCAGAACCTACTACTAGATCCAAGTGTCAGAGCAAATCACATTTGCACCAGTTGTATGTTGGATGCTTAGCTTGTTAGAAGTTGACAAAACTAGACCTTGACATATCTGTTCTCTCATCTTTTTTAGATACTCATGTTCAACTCCCTTGAATTTTGATTATTAGCAATTAGCTTTGTCTATTTTCCAGTCCTTTTCTATCTCCAGATGGGCCAAAAGCAGTTTGCACTCAGTGCATTTCAGATGACCCTTCTGTGGACATGAAATTTCTTAAATCAGCAATAAGAGTAGAACTATATGCAGACAGCTGATGAGACCACATGCCTGTACAGCTGAACCAATTTTAGTGGCTGAAGTGTGCTCCCATGTACTCATGTTAATGGTAATTTCCTAGAAACCAGGAAGGATTGGTTGCCTTTAGGGTATCATGCTAGAGGTAATAACAGAATTGAGGATCATGTCTATAGCATCAAGTCCTCTACTGTAACTTATTATCACTGCTTAGCATTAACACTGCCTGGTCAGACAGATCAGTGCAGTTGCCACAAGTGTCTATGGTCTGTTGCACGAACTGATTTGAAAAAAAAAAAAATTAAGAGGACACTTATCTGACCTATTTGTGGTGAGGATCAGAGAACCCACTAACCTGAAATGCTCCATACAGCAGTAGATAAGTCACTGAAAATCTTTCCACTGGGTATTCTCAACTCCTCACTGATTCACATGCAAGGCAGTTTGTGTCAGGGTACCTAGGAAGGCTGAACATCAGGCCCTGAAAGAGAATGCTGCTTGGAGCAGAGAACTCAAACTCCAGGGAGAACAGCTGATCAAGCTGAGAAAAGCCTGAAGATAACTAAATGCATCAAAGTGTTTGCCTTCAGATTCTGAATTAATTCCAAAAGTCTCTTGCATGGAGAGAAAAATAAACCAGACAGTCTAATCCCAGTGTAACCTAAACAGCAGCCCTATAGCTAGTCAAGGGTGATTTTCAATTATAAGCCAAATGGTTTCTTTAATGTAAAGACCTACCTGTTAACAAGTTTATCTCTAAAGCCTAGGAAGGCTCATTTGCTTCTAGGTTGGTTGTTTTGGTTTCTTTTTTTTAGTAACTGTCTTCATTAGCCCACAAAGAGACACTCTCTCTCAAAAAAAGAGTCAAAAGCTCACATCATTTAAAGCTGTAGAAGTTAATGTTGTGTCAAAAAGCACAGATACCTATATCTTGTTTGCAATAAACAAAACCATGCTTTTCATATCTGAAAAACTGCTCTCAATTTCCCTACTTTATGAATAAAATAATGATAGTGGGGTTTTTTGTTGTTGTTGTTTTGGTCTTTTTTTAAACTTTCCAACCACATTTCCTCAGATAGGTTTTAGTAACTTCTGTGAAAGAACATAGGCTGTGTTATTCCAGCTGTGGCAAGAGACTGCCAGCAAATTTGCCTCAATTCCCAGCATTAGGGCAGTTACTTCCTATGCCTAGAGCTTCTACTGTAACTACTTGTCAAATCCAAGTCATTGCTAGTTAACATCTGGTATCTGCCAAAAGCCACTTCATCCTGCTGTCCTCAAAGCAGGAGAGCCAGCAGAGAGGTTAGGAGTCTGTACTCGACACTTTTCTGTCCCTGGGAAGAGAACAGCTGTACCTTAGAGCTGTCCTATGGAGCAGCTACAGCCAGAGTTTGACCCACAAATCCAAATACCCTATGCTTACAGAATAACTGATCTCTATCAACTGAGTGAAAACTCAACTCAGAGCAGCATGAGACAAAGCCAGGGCGTTTTTGACAGACACCAGCTTCCACTGCAAGGTAACCCTGAGCAGCAGCTGCTTTCTAAAGTATGTGGGGGACAAGGCTGGAGTGCTTGAAACCCCTAAGTTTTGAAGGGCTCAGCTCCCAGTGATCATAAAGACACAAAATGCACAGGATGTCCCAAATGACCTGCTAGGCCTCTTGTGCAATAAGATGCTGGACATTTAACGTGTACTTAGGTTGTCTGCCCTGATCAATGGTCAGGGATAAGATGCACTAGGCTCCAGAGTGCAAAGGCTTAGTTTTTATCAGAAGAGATTACAGCGATAACCATTTACAGCCTTGAGTTCAGGAGCACATGTTCTCATTTCTACTGTACTACTCCAACCCCCAGTAATTTCTTCACTAGCTAGAAGGAACAAAACAGTTATTCTCTCTTCTTTCCAAATCAGGAGATTCTCTCCACTGGAAAGCGACTGAACTTTGTGTCTCCAAGCACATAAGTATGAAAAAAGAAGTCAGTGTCATCTCCATCACAGCACTGCTTTACAGACAGCAAAACAACCTCTAACACTTGCACAATTTCAGAAGCAATGGTCATGCACTGCTTGGGGGAACATTTCCTAAAATTATATTCTTTGTCACAAGTTTGCATACGCTTTTGAGGCGATTAGGAGAACTTGTTGACTTACATTAGTAAGGTTACACTGAATCCAGGCAAGAAGAGCAGAGTTCAACCAACCACACTGGAGTCACTGATTAGTTAGTTAACCACAAGTTAACTAACCACCAGTTCACTCCTCACATTTGCTTACGCAGTGCAGCTCTTGACTGGTGTCCTGCAGATGTGAGCCACTGTGCCAGTTATTTGCTCCTTGGAAGCATTATAACCCATTTTCCTCCAGCTGCAGCAAGGAGAAGCCTTGTGTTCTGAAGGGTTTAGGAATATCTATGTTTTAGCATCCAGAGAAAAGCTAAAGTGCAAAAAGCTCAGCAATGACTGCTGAACAGAGCTATGTAAAAACCCCCAGTAACTTGCATTCAGCCTGAGTCATGCTTTCGTTAGGCTTTGCCTTCAGAGTACCTCTTGTGAACGCCAGAGCCAAACAGTTCAAGCACCCTTTGATGTTGGCAGAGAAGCACTCTGCTGGGTGGTGGGAAAGAAGGAGGCCACAGTAAGCTGCTTTCAGGAAGTATAGGGCTCTGTGGTTTCACACTCCACGTTACAGGCTATGTCTAGACTTTGCTCATGAAGCCTGTTGAACTCAGGATTTCAGTATACTTAAATAGAGAGGCCAGTTTTTTATAAAGAATTTTACATCTGAAATTACTGTCCCTCCATCAGGAGGACAATAACACCATGACACTGCTCAGTATTAAAAGTAGTTTTGTCAGATGAATTTGAAAGCCAAGCTTTCATTTTATTTTTTTTTTAATATCAGGTTTCCTCCTTGAAAACTACCTACTTGGCAAAACTGAACATGTTCCTTGAGCTCTTTGAAGTTTTTAAAAATGTAAAAAATAGTCAGTATAACGGGTTCTGTTACTGGTTGTCCCA